GAGGTAAACACGGTTAAACGTATGTATAGTAGATGGCATTTCTCCTCACATTTAGTCTCTTAAAAAGTTCTTTTTCCACTGCCAAATGCCATAAACTTTGGATATTTGTATAACAAAAACTTTCATCCATTTTTTTGCTTTCTACTGCACAGTACTTCCTAGCTAGTTTATCATTATCAATGATTTTTTTGCAGGAGCCAATGAGATCTGCCTCGATTTTGAGTGTTCTTGATGCGAATTTTTTTTATGAAGTTTCAAAATTCTAAAGATAAAAAATTGAAAGCTTAGGTCACTTTTTTCTTTTACTGAGATAGGGGAAGAACTGAATTATGAAAACATTGAGAGCATGAAGGTTGATTTGTGAAATTATCGAAAACGGCAACTAGAAACTGATGCATTGTTGTTATTTTACTCCTAGAAGGAAGAAGGAAGACAACTAATTTGCAACTTTTTCTTTTTCCTAGAAACAGTGTCAGCCTTTCTTTACCACGAGAGGTCCTACTTAATTTGACAAGCGAGTCTCAAGTGGCTTGACGTTTTCAAAACAGCTAAAACACGGATTTGCCGAGGTCGGTCTCTCTTAAATCTTTAACTTAGCCTTATTGGGAGAGAATTAATTAGATATTAATAGTTTATATTTTCTCAGGAAATTTTCGTTCTCTTTTATGAAATCAACTTTTGTTTTCAAGAAGATCTTATCCAATCATTAATAATTAAAGCACACCACATACTGTTTGCCATCAAAAGGTTCCTACTAACTATTATCCGGTTACCGTCTTTTTTGTTTTTTAAAACAAAATTAAAATTAATATCCTGGCAAGAGAAGCATTCCGCTCTACTTTAAAACCTCTTTGTCGGTTTATTTCTATGCTTCACGTTTCTTGATGACCGCAGCGAATACATCAGTGAGCCCTTTTAAATCGAAATATTTTCATTCTACAAATTTTGTTCGACAATTATAGATTTTATGATAAGTCAACTGAGTGTTGTAATAAACTGTGGAAGTAATTACTTCAGTTCGATTTCCGATACAATCCTGTTTATATTTCAGCGAAAACTAAAACCATTGTGGAACGTTTTCGTCCGACTGAATCAAAAAAATAAACAGCAAAATTGGCTTCGATCATTCTAGTCTTTAATTGCTTTTTTTTTCTTGTTACTGTTAACTTACATGAATAATATTCAATGCAGTACAGTTAAGACCCGCATTTAAGAACCGATGATTTCGGGATTCGGGCGCGGATCAAATTCTTATTTACCAGGTGCTAAGTGAGAAATCGACCTGAAAATGTTCTTAACATTTTCTTAATATTTATTTCAAAAACTGTATACAATACATTATACATACTAGAGGTTTAATTTGCATACAATGTTTACTACTGACTCTATGGCTCTTAGAATTTTTAGCACTCCTTCAGTACTACTTTAACTTACTTTATTATATAAACTTGATATCTTCACATGTGAAAATAACATGTTATCTTCACATGTGAAAATATCACCTTTGCTATGGCTACATAATAAATCGGGCCTTTCACACCAAAAAACTATTAAAGTGAAATGGTTTGGTATTTCATTGGTGTTTATATGATAAATAGGACATTACATGGCCGCTTGGAGAAACGAAATTTCTCTTCTTGTGCTGAAAAAATATTCAACTTTCGAAGAGAAATTTCGTATCTCCGCTCGACCATGTAATATCCCCTATGTATTGGTTTCTTATTCAGGCATTCCCGTTCTTTTTACTTTAGAACATGCTTTATTTATCCGGTGGCCGAATTTGTGTTTATATATATAGTGGTTTATTGGCCAACTTTCAGCCTTATGTTCTTAATCCACTTGTCCTTATTTTCGAATGCTTACCGTACCCTTAAATCTGAATCTGAAAGAAATATATTAAACTACTCGCCATCTGATCATGATTCCGCTTAACGCTGGCGAGGAAAAACCTTTTGATTGGATTATAAAGTGCCGTAAATTTCCGCTTACAACCCTCCCTCCCCCACCCCTACCACTTATAAGCCTTCTCGGGTCCCGGATATAACCTATTGGCTAGTTATAGGCCCATCTCCCGGAATACAAGTCCCCCCGGATACAAGCCCTCTCTAGCATGGAAATAAATTCGATTATTTTGACGGTTAATTAAAACCTGTTTATGCAAAACGTGTTTTAATCACCACTGCCCCATAGCTTGTTTCGAAGTGCTTTTTTTTATTCTGGTTATAAGCTCCCTCGAATATAAACCCTACCGTTTAAGGCCCTCACGAAGAAGATGATGTAGAAGCCCAGGCCTTCTGAGCGGCGCGCAGTTAACGGTATTCTATTGTGGCTGTATTAGTTCTCTTCGTGGGTGATATCAAAATAATTCTCAATTAAACAAAATTAAATTCGCTTTGTTCTTACTCGTTTGAAGTTAATTATTGATTAGTGAGCGTAACTGCATTTCCATTTTACCGTTAAATATGCCGGCCTGACACTATTGATATCACTTATCCACCGCTTTAATCACATGGAGACAGATATTAACTACATGAACTGCGGTTCTTTACTTTTCATTCGCATCTCCGGAGCTTCCTTCACACGATCATGTAATTATTTTGCAGTGTGAAGAAAATTTAGAACTTTACTTGTTTAATATATTCTAATTTTTGGCAGCGAAAAGAATAATAATAATAAAAAGCAACATGAATGCGATTATGATCACTGATCAGCTCAGCTTGCTAGCAGATTGTATTCTTTCGGTAATGATTAATTGAATGCAGAGAACAAGCATCCTATCATGGAGGTTTGCGTCATGTAATATCTAGAAATTAAATTATTTAAAAATTTTACCAGGTGTGTTTTTTCCTTCAGACCAGACGACTACTTGACGAAAGAGAAGAGATCTTCTGAGTTTGTAGTTTCGCGGATGAGCATGGAACCTACAGGTAAGTACAGGTTTATACCCTTATAATTATCCAAGTGGAATACAGATAGTTTCCTTACACTAAAAAGCTTATTCCCTCAGTAACCTTCTTTACAGAGGATACACTCAAGAGCCTTATCGAAAACCTGAAACCAGTTAAAGCAGTTAAACGCTGACTGGCCCCAGTCAAAATATAACAAAATTTCTTATATTCATTTTGTAAAACGACGCATAATGGATAGCACCATGCCATGTGAAAGTACAGCCAAAGAGGTTTCATTGAATGATGTTCACGCCACCGTATTTAGTCCGCAGTGTCAAAAGTTACCTTACGAGACTCCATCACTTTGACTAATTGGTAGCTGTCATAGGTTTGAAATAAACTTCTGTCATACGACTGAATAGGTACAAAGGAGAATAATGGCTCCTATTATTCGCTTTGCAGGGCCGTAGGAAGCCTTTAGAAACTGGGGGGAGGGGCAGAAAGATTTTAGGTAGCTCATTGTGTTTGAAAAGCAGAGGGTTTTCGGTCCGGAGGACCCGTTGAACTGGTCTCTGTATCTTACAACCTAAAAATGTTTCACCTACCTGGGGAGACATCATTGTTTCAATGCCCTGAGAGATGACTTTTTATATTCAACTTTTAAGCGTGCATGTTTTGACTTTTTGGGGCATAAAAACTAGGGGGGGGCATGGGTCCCCCGGTACCTCCCCATGCTACGGCACTGCTCTTGATACATGTCGCCTCAACCCTTTTACTCTTAGAGGGAAAGTAGTTAATTATCTTCTCCCGTTGAGGGGCTTCTTGCGGATAATGAAACATAATTAGGTCACTGAAACATAAAAGGAATCCCAGCTGGTACGTTGGCTATTTTACAAACGTGGCGGAGGATGTAAACTTCGAACAACGGAGAACAAATCCAGCTGGCCGTCAGGGCGAGATTCGCTTGCACTCGGGGCCTCTGGATTCCAAATTCAGCGTTCTAACCACTCTTTATTAGGTCGTTCTGAATGATATTGGAAATGTTTGTGGAATTGTTGCTTTAGTCACGTCAGGGAGTTATGGTTTCACGGTTACACAATTAGGGGGTAATACGGTATTTAGATTTAGCCAAGGCCAAAAGCGAAGCTCTCGTGGGATCTTTAAAGAAATGTTTTTCTCCAGTAATTCAGCTTTTGCCATAAACAAGAAGTTAACTGAACTCCTCCTGAAAAAAGTGGAACTGAGCTTGTGATCAATTGAAAACATAACTGGTCAGCGGAGAACTATAAGAAATCACGTCCCCTCAATGAGGTGTTCACTAGAGCCCGCGATACAGTCATATGACAATGGACAGCGGTTACCTTTTTAGACAGCTGTCAATAGGCCTTCTGCAAGGTTTGTGACATATCACAAGAATCTGTTATTCAGTTGTCTTCCAATGGTAATAGCCTGATTTAGCAACAGGGCGGGAACGTCAGTTGACGACGGTGCGCGCAAATCAAACAACTCGCTTGACCAATGGCAGAGCGGCAAAAGGGGCACCGGAAGTCGAGTTTAGTCCTTTCCGCGCGCTTTCCCGTAGTCAAATGACGTTCCCGTTCTGTTGCTAAATCAGCCTAATACTTAGATTCCCCCCCTCCCCCCCACTTCTTGAGCATTATTAGGGTGCGTTCGATTGTTCGTATTTCGGAATACGAATAAGCTAAAGCTTTGTTACAAACCTCTTGCACCATACTTCTTGGACTACTGAAAGCTACATTACATCGAAATATTTTATTTCAGCACATTTCTAGATGTTGCATTGCAATGAATGGCAAAACAAATACGGTCAATAGATCATACCCTTAGTAAGTACTGTTTAGTAAAAACACTTTTTGGTTGATATGCCAATCTCACCTCTAATCAAGTAGTATGGCTTCTAATAATACTCTTTTCTTCACAGAATCGGTGTTTCCTAACATTACCAACAACGCCACGGAACCTGGCAGTGGAGGTTCGTCTTCCATACCTCCAAACATTCAAATCGGAGTCACCATATTTGCAGTATTGATTTTTATCTTTGCGCTGATCGGTAACGTTGTGGTAATTTACATTGTCTGCACGGTAAACCACATGCGCAGCTCAACCAACACCCTCATCGCCAACATGGCCTTTGCTGATCTGTTGATGACCATAGACATACCGTACATACTTAAATTTTTCTACGTCGGCGATAAATGGTTTGGAACCTTCATGGGCACCGTTTTATGCAAGTTTTTTCACTCTGCTCAAGTGGGATCTCTAATAGCCTCCGTGTTTAGTTTAGTGGCAATTTCTCTGGATCGAAGTTTTGCTATCTTGTTTCCTATGAAGACGGTTATGACTAGGAACGTTGTACGTTTCGCGATCGCCATGGTCTGGCTGGGAGCGCTGGCTTTCTCACTTCCAGTCATGGTGGCATCTAAAACTGCACAATTGGAAGGCACGAATTTTTTGAGTTGCGCAGAGTTTTGGGCGACCACGTCGGCAAACACTTTCTTCCTAGTTCTAATTATAGGTGGGTACATCATTCCACTGATAATCATCGCCTTTGTCTACAGTCTAGCAGGGATACGTCTCTGGAGTAGACAACTTCCTGGCCATAGGAATTTGGTCTCAAACAAAAAAGCACAGTCGTCCAGCAGGCGTGCAACAGCTATGTTGATAACTGTAGTTATTGTCTTCGCCCTGTCTTGGCTACCTTTTCAAGCTTTGGAGATGCTTCGTCAGTACAACAGGCCACTGTATGATTCACTTCCTATTGAATTTCTGTTTACCACACCGTGGTTTGGTTACGCTAACAGTGCTATTAACCCAATCCTCTATGTGATATTCTCCGAGAATTATCGTCAGGAGTTTTACCGCATTCTGTGTCGAGGTCCAACCAGGAAGGACCGCTACAGAAGGACAATCATAAGCCGAAGTACCACTACTAGATCAACTCGTCTGTCACGTGCAAGCTCATTGGCTGTAAGCATTCCGCTTCAAAAGCTTAGAGAGGAAGCGAATTATAGACGACAAGGCCCTGAGTCACCCTGATATCGTGCCGCAATATTCTGACCCATGAGAACTTGATAAGCTTTGTAACATCTTGACCAAGACTCAAAAAGAATCGTGACACCAGTAATTTCAGACTCCTATTGTCACTTGAAAGAACAATTTTCCAGAACGCTCAACTTTTCGTAAACTGTCTCTCACTAAGCAAGTCTGTAGCGCTGCCTTGCTCTGCATTTAAAAAAGACAAGCGCCCAAACGACGCCTAACATTAGGGCGGATCAAGAAAATGTTGGTAAGGGGTTCCAGTTAGTGCACACGGTTGGAGCCAACACTTTACACCCTTGCACTCGTTATGTATTATTCTCTACTTTGAATGACTTTGCTGTCATGACACGTTTTCACAGTACATGTGACAACAGCGAAAACGCCACCAAAAAGTAAGTTCGTGTTCTTTCAAACCTCATCGCAATTATTCCAACTTGTTCACCTCGTCTAATGTAGGCGAATGCTCCTGGATTTGAATTCGTAGCAACCTGATCCCAGTACCGGTTCCCAGAGGGAGAGAGGAGTTATCGTACTTTGTTCACGTCCTCCATGAAAAGATGTCACTACAGCGACGGCAACGAGACGTCAAATCACGCCCTGAATCACCCTGAAATCGTGCCGCAATATCCTGACGCCAAGACATGATAACGTGATTTAACAGCCTGCCACAAGACCCAAGCTTTGTAACATCTTGACCAAGATACAAAAGGCACCAGTCGTTTCAAGAGGCTGTAACTCAGGCTGTCACTAAGTAAATCTGTAGCGCTGCATTTAATTTTCTTTTCGCTTTTTAAAGCCAGTTTTCGTCGTCGTCGTCGTCGTCGTCCTTGCTTGAGGTTATGTTTACGGGACCATTGGCAAGGAAGATTTTGTATCTCAACACAAAGTTCCAACACTATTGCCTTGTTATAGGAAAACATTTATCTCATGTTGTGCGGTGGCAAATACGAACAAGACGAACAAGAGTCCCAAGGTAGAAAGACATTTTCTATTTAAACTACTGAAAACCAAGTTGACGAAGGTTGTCTAACTGAATGAAGGTTTCCCATCAGATCCATTAGACCTATTAGGCTACGACACACCGATGACGTCACTAAAACTTTTTTATGTTTTGTCGAACACAATTTTACGTCATCTGTAATGTGTTACTGAACAAACACACGGCAATATTGAATCTATTTGCTGAATAGGTGACAATTTTCCGTGGCCTTGCTAGAAAATAGCAAATGGAAATTTTTTGTCGATTTCTTAAATAGACCACTGAACGAAATCCACACTGCAACGCATGCGCAATAGGTAACAAGGGGTGCTTACCATTTACACAATCCACCCGAGTGGAAATCTTGTACATAAACAGTATAAAATTTTACATGTTGGGAGAACGACCCGCTACAAGGTACATCCAAATCAGCTGAACAGACTAAAACTAAGAGGGGGAAAATAAATTCGCCTTAAATCACAGCCCATATTTTCTGAAGCTTCCCAAACGGAATGGCGCGAACCATTTGATTTTCAAACCGGAATTTCCGGTTTTCCCACGTACACGGTAAGTACCCCAGCATTCAGTTCGAATTCAGTTTTCCGATCCGTAACAGCAATCTGAGGAACAGCAGCGGTTAAGTAAGAACAGAATCAAATCGGTATTGTGGTCAAGTAATGTAAATGTGAGAGCTTTAGTGATGCATTAATGTTGTTTAGTTTAAGAAAGTTTTTCACGGAAGGTATCTAATCTCTTTGTGGCAGTAGGATTGACGAGATAAACAGACGCAAAAAGCAAAAAAGTGGTCAGTTTTGAGAGCTTAAATTTTATTTGATTTAGTAAGACTATGTAAGTGTAAACAGAAATTAGAAATAGAATTAAAGATTGATGTTTAATGAATGTAATGGAAGATAATAAATACGTAGTACGATTGACGAAAGACGTAATCTATTATTGACAACTTCTCCCCTGGAGAGTTTCCATAGGAAACTGGGAGGGACGCCCCCTCCTGTTATTTTCTAGGGGCGGGGGGTGGGGAGCGGCGGCGAGGACATGATATACGTGGGCTCGATTACTAGCCACTGTTCGGCAAATGAACCCGCGCTCCCAGAAACCGGACCCACGACAGTGGCGGAAATCGAACCTAGATTCTACGAAGAAAGTGGAGAGTAGAAATAACCAATTTTTTTATAGATGCACATCCATGGCCAGTTATATGCACCAGCCCGCGAGCAAGCTCTTCCCCAGTTCGAGTTGCAAGTGAAGCAAGCCGCAAGACAACGCGCGAGCGAGCGAGCGACCCCATTCAGCCCTTCACACTTGATCTGCCGTCTCAGTTTTGAGTGCCTTGTGACTTCTCATCTCCTATATGGGGAGTTTGTTCGCAGGGTTTGTGTGCACTTGCTGCCTGCCACGAAAGTGGCATTACCTTTGTCTTATTATTTCAAACCCCAAAAACACGAACTACGAAAATATTTTTTTTTCCGTTCACGGGGAAAAAAAAGGCAAGTTAAGCACTGGCATTCAAGAATTTAGTGAATATGATTTGGCTCCTCTGTTACTTGATTTAATATTTTAAATTATTGCTTTAAAACATACATACTATCAAAAAGGTTGGATCTGAAATAAGTAAATAAACATTAAAGTAGCAAGCTATTTTCTGTTGTCTTCTTTGCCTTTTTAGGCCGTTTATGATTCAACATTTGCTCATTCTAACCACATTTTAAGCTAAGGAAAAATAATATACCCTCTCTAAAAAAACCGGGGCTCAAATAGAACGCAAGTTCAGAGTCCACCGGGTCAACTGGGCCAGCTTTGAAATAAATTTTGGGGTGATATAGAATTGAAGAACAGAGCTCAATCTTGTTTTCAATAATGACTTGCCTTGTTACAAACGCCATCTTTAAAATGAAGCTTCGGTCAGTCCTTTCCCACTTTCGATGAGAAATGTGTGTGCTGTTAAATCGCCGCTGAAGGGCTAAATCTTTGTAAATAGAAATGTATAATAAACAGGTAGACCCTTGGTATAAACGTAGGACAAGAATATCGTTAGAAAATTGGCTAACATTAACAAGTAACATGCCATTCTACTTAAGCTTTATGCACAGCGTCCGAGTAAAAATTGTGAGGCGGTAGTTCTGCTTTTGTTAAGATATCTGTGGATGCTTGAAAGAAATCCTCTGAAACTCGTGGGTTCATGGTCGGAGCCATCTTTTTTTCCAACTCCAAAGGTGGTCGTTCAGAAGTTGTGGTGAAAGCTCCTGAAGAGATGTTGGAGAACTAACTGCAAGCCAGCGTTTGACGTCTGAATGAAATTATTGAATAACTCGACGTCGTAAAATGTTTTCCTCTTTGTATTTGGATTTTCTTGTTCTTCTACGAATTTGATCAGTTCCTCATCTCTGATCTCGACAAAGCAGCTTGTCTCCGTTTTATAATTAATTTAAAACTTGACTTCGACTCGTGAAAACTGCGAAAGGAACAAACGACGGAAAACCATAAGTGCTTGACAGCGCGGGAAAATACTGTGAGCTGATTGGTCAAAAAGGATATTACACATGGGTAGATAGAAATGATATCACCACTAGCTAGACAGCGCATTTATCTTTTTGCTACCACTTGGTAGAACCGTTATCTTCTATTTAATAAAAACGATTATGTAGTACTATTATGTGGATCTTAGAGGGTGTTATCTTCCTTACAATCAGCCTCATCCTGTAGTTGTTTCTGTGTTTGTTTAAGAAACCGACGAGCATCGCGTGGGTTTTTTACTGCATTGACTTAGTCTCAAGAATCATGATTGTCGGGGACTGTTAGGTACATTTTTTTTCCTACACCACCTGCATACATTCTCTAAAGTAAACGGGTGGGTCTTTTCCATTTTTAGTGCGCGCTTTTTAGATAAAGTAAAGACCAACAACACAGTTTTTATTTCAAACTGATGTTGGCGCATTAGCATGTTGAGGGCCGCGGAATCTGAGGTAGAATATTTCAGGTTCTTTAGTTCAGCATAATATATATTTTTCCAATAAAATTTACAGACGAATGTATGGTAAATGAAAAATACAATCGTACAAGTTCGCGCGTAAAGCTAAAAGCTCTATCCTAGTTTTTAAACTAAGTTTGATAACCACCCGAAGGAAATCTCCTTTCAACAAGCGAAAATCGATATGTACAAACGAGCCAATGAGTAATTAAAAAAAAGTCAAAACTTTTATGAATTGACTTAAATCTTTCATTGCATTTTTCAATCTCCGATCTTTTTATCTAGCCTATAAAATTAGGTATGTCTATTTCTCCAGTGAGCAATAAAGACCTTATCATTTACCTTATTATTTTTTCCGTTCATACTTTTCCGTGACAATTTTATCTTTTATGAAAATTATTGACACCGGTTCTAATAGAAGCTATAGACTTTGGTGTCTATCAAAGGGGAAGTTAAACTTAAGCTTTGATAAAGTTACGGTAATAGGACCGTCGCGTGTGACGTACTCGACCAAGTAGCATAAGAAATTATGAGTCAGGTTACCCTTGGACGGTATGACACGAAATCCTTTTACCAATGAATTGGGTCAATAACAGAAGCACACACTAATGTGATAAATGATGGAAGCACAAGTTTCTTATAACATCTGTCTGTAGCTCGATTTGTCCTATTATGAGACTTGAGTAACAGCATTGTTGTTGCTGTTGCTGTGTGTTTTTTTATGGAGATTGTTCTACAGGATGTAAAATGTCTAAGAAAAAATTGATTCATTTTTGTTCAGTTTTTTTTACAGACCGAATATGGGGTACTTGCTCTCTAAGTTATTTTAATTTGGACTGGTTAACATGGACTAAGTAGATTTAAAAATCGTATTGTTTGAGAAACATTTGGTTGTTTAATTTTCATTTGGCTTTGCGACTGACTGATTTGAAGCACCATCTAATTGGACTGCTATGGATAGCAGCTGACAACAAATAAGAGATATTGAAAAACAAGACTGACTCAAGCATTTATATTTGATGCCAATAAAAGAATAATAGGCTTGAAGCCTTACCAATGCTAATGTACCCATATTTAACACGAGGAAAGAATGGAATTCACCATTTCCATTTACACATAGACCATAATGCACCTTGTGTCCTCCCCCAAGAAAACCAAACAAACAAAAAAACCAAACTTTGTCTGACCATTGTTTTCGATTTCTCCTGGGACGACTGTAATACCCAGGAGAATTAGAAACAATAGCATGCAAAATTCTGGGGGGTAAACAAGGTGCATTATGGTCTATGTGAAAGTATAAATACATTAAGCGAAGTGTTGTCTTTTTTCATGGAAAATAAGGTGGCAAACGGTGCATGATACTGTATAGCCCACTTTAACGGGAAAGGTTTTTTTTTTCTTTTTAAAAAATCCAGTATCTATAAGCTGAAAGATAATAACGTGTAACTAAAATTGATCCCATTTTCTACGTTTATGACGAAAGCGTTGTAATAAAACAATTCAGAAAAAAGTGACAGTTAGTGTTGATTCCCAGTATAGCGTAATTTTTCTGTGTGTACGTGCGTAAAATTTACGTTCGCAAATAAAATAGAGGCAATGCATGAAAGGTCGCTCGTTAGCGTAAAATTTGAACCTCGCTTAACTTCTCGTTTAAGGTCAGCACTTTTTAATATCGCTATTCTCGACTGTGTTACTTCGTAAAAATAGTGTTTTAAGTATTTAGCTTTTGTGGGAACACGAATTCTGCATACTGAGTGGTATGCGAAAACGTCTGCAAGAAACATAATATTTCACTGACGTATTTCTTCACTTCCATTAAACTGAAGACGTCAAGTACTCTCGCTTTTAAAAATCACGTGACTTTCTCCTTTTTGAAATGACAGACGCAAGTAAGCGTTCTATGAACAATTTGATAGAGGCTATTTCATGGAGGGTATTAAAATTATCATGTTTTTGAAATGTGCAACAAAAGGCGAAGTCAAGGTTTCCTTAGCATGCCTTCCAGTATTGACAGGAATGCAAAAATATGATTTAAAACAAGGCTAGAATAGACACAAAGAACACCTGGTAATGACGATAACATGTCAAGAAATGGGACGAGAAAAAAATTAACTTGAACTTGACAAATTTTTATTGTCTTCCGGAGAAACATCAATAAACAAAATAAGAACTGTGTCAGTTGCAGGTGTTACTCTGTATTATAAAAGTTCAAATGAATTAATGTGTAGATTATAGTACTGAAGGATATAGCCCAAAAACGGCAGAAGAACTTTCGATTCAACAGGCGCCTCAATCTTGAACAGACGTGCGAAAAAAAAAGGAAAATAACGGACAGCCAAGGTAACACTTTTTCCTTTCTGAAATTTCTTTGCTTGATGTTTTTCTCCAGAGGCTTTGCCAGTCTCTTTATTCACAAGGCAGAAGGGCTTTTCATAGATTGAAATTTTACAAGTGTTTCAAGGTTTTCTGAAAACCTTGTCCTAATGTACTTAAGTTAACGAGAAGTACGTATCTCTGGTATCTCGCAAACCCTCGTGAAAGAAGTTACGTTGAAAACTGGTTGGGTGACCAGCCGGGATTGATCGAGTACCGAGCTGAAACCAGTCTTTGATCTATCGGTTGGGAAAGAACCAGGACTAAAGAACCAATTCAATGCGGGTTTGCCTCGGTGTGTGACATGAATTGGGAGGTGGATTTCAGGAAAAAGCAAGGTTTAAAACGAAGTAACGAGCTTGAATTATTCAGTTGACTTGAGAAATTAAGCTCTGGCTGCTAAACAAATCAACTATGATGGAATAATCGATTTCCTTCGGCTTTGCCAAAATTCTGATCTAACTCCTGCATTTGCTAAGATCCTCCGAACAGTTTGCCAGAAATGTCATCGGGAAATCGGGAAAAACTGCGTAACAAATCCAAGAAGAATATCACTCTAACGAATCAACGGAATCTACAGTAAAATTCATCAGAACATCTCCTCTTCCCATTACCCATATGTTGTTAACGATGGCGTTGCTACGTAAAAAGACCTATCAGAAAATGGCAGAGGAAAACGCACAAAAAAATGCACAGTTGCTGTGCGGGGATATTGATGTGGATGAACACATACAGAACATATCATATCATCGAGATTAAACACTTCGAAATCAATGAAAATATTTTTCTTGTCTCAGTGCCGGTTTCACAAATGCACCGTTAAGGTGGATTTCGACTGTCGCGTAATTTTTTACGCGCGTATTGAAGTATTAGAGACCTTTGGCATCAGGCAAACCGCAAACCGCAAACCGAAGTTTGCAGTTACGCGTTGCCGAGATTTCAAGTTTTAGCAAGGCGTTCAGTTCAGTTCAGTTCAGTTCATTTTTATTTACCCAAAATATAATACAATACAAGAATACATATAGAAATTGTAAGGTGGCAAGGGAGCCTAGAAGAAACCAGAAGGCTTATGAAGCCTGGGCTCCCCAGTCTCAAAGAAATAAGCAAAATAAAATGAAATTCGCGGAGTGATACGTTGAAAATAGGAACTAAACAGAGACTGATGAGTTAAGTTATGAATTCAGTAACAAGATAGAAAAAAAATTTCAACTCTGGATTGGAACAGAATACTTTCTTTTGTTAGTACGGCAGAAAGGAATATAACATCGATTTGAACTACGCGTTCATTGTTTAGGGCCGCCATGTTGTTTTCATCAAGTCGAAGTGCATCACTTTAATCGCCCAAAAATCAGCAATAATTCATTGATTCGAGATCAAAAATCCAACAAACACATCGCAAACGGATATAAAAAGCTAGTTCATACCTTTAAACGCGAGGCTGTACAATTTTTTGTCGCAAAAACCTTGCCGTAAATGTATGGCTCTTAGAGTTTATAGCACTCCTTACTACTTTAACTTACTGTATTTGTTTCTTATTTTGGCATCCTCGTCCTTTCTACATTAGAATATGCTTTATTTATCCGGCGGCTGAATTTGTGTTTGTATATATTGCGTCTATAGTGGTTTATTGGCCAACTTTCAGCTTGATGTTCTTAATACACTTGTCCCTATATGCGGGTGTTTACCGTACCCTTAAATCTGAATCTGAAGGAAATACATTAAACTACTCGCGATCTGATCATGCATGATTCCGCTTAACGCCGGCGAGGAAAAACCACCCCTACCACCCCTACCACTTACAAACCTTCTCAGTTATAGGTCCATTTCCTGGATATAAGCTGTAAGCTAGTTATAGGCTATCTCCCGAAATACAAGTCCCCCCGGATATAGGCCCCACTCTAGTACTGAAACAAGACGCTACGGAGCGTACACTTCGGCGTCGTGGTTGTGGAACTAATTATTTGTAAATGCGGAGGAATAGTAAGAAATCAAATATGGTGAGAGTAAGGTGTTAATTTGTGAAATTATGGGATCTGTCAGGATATTCTGAAAAGAGCAACATCCAAGAGACCTACTTGCCAAAAACTAGCATTTCGGGACAAATTGTCTCCGAGAAATTAGCCCAGTAATGCTGTGATGATTCCATACAAATCCTTCTAATAAAACAATTCTCTATTTTCTTAGTCACATCAGGCTTCAAAAACAGCATAGCAGTCTCATGTACTGATTAACCCATTCGCTCCTGGAGATTTTGCCGAAAAACGCGTTTTGAAGCTAGTCGAGTGGTTTTCTGGTCACTGTCGTGCTATAAAGAGCTAAAACTTACCACAAACCGGTTTACAGGTCGTACACTTGGCGGCCTTCTGATCCAGATGCAAAATATCAGCTTGCGAAGTTCGGGCATGCGCAAAAAGTGACACAGCAGTCTTGACTTTTACTTTTCGCTTTCTCTCCTCCCTTCTTTTTTCGCTTTTCTTGCCTCATTTTTATTTCTCTTGCTGGGCATTTAGTAGGCTTCATTTTGGTGGGAAGAGTTTTTAGGAAAGCTTTTAGGATCTTAGGATTAGGTGAAAGGAAAGGTAGGTGGGTAATGGTACAAGATTTTCATGAGGATTTTCAGGTCCTTGTCACGTGGTTTTATACTTCTTTCTCCGGTGTCCTTGACTGAATTGTGCTCATTCTGGTATGGTTTAAAAGATCTCTTCACTCTGCACAAGTTAGCGAAGAAAGTTGTCCTTGACCGTTACAACTGATGACGTCACAAAGGGTAGAAAGGACCTGGATCCGCACGGGCGGTTACGGGCGGTTCAGGGACGAATGGGTTAAAGATATGTAAGGCATGGGTAAGGAGTCAATTACGTTGAGCATGGAATTGGCTAAAACTCAAAGTCACGAGTTCGAATGTTTTGAGGATAATTATTCACTGACTATCAGCACGCAGGGATGTCGGATTCACACAAGGAAGTTTAACACCAAAGGAACATAGCCTTTACAGAGCTTTAAAACACAGCATCCACCAACAAAAACTTGACTTGAACTTTGAGTAAAACTAAACAGCCTCTACCAATAATAACAAACTCTGACTTGAACTTCAGATATCTTACGGCTTCCGCGAACTTGTAAACACAATACCTGAAAATCGATCTTCGTCACACTTGACTAAACACAGCAGTCCAGCTCGTGGGAAAAAACTTAGTTCTTCAAAAGAACTCGCTTGGAACTTGTATACCGTTTGACGTAAGGTTCTAGAAAATACTTAACAGCAGGCGAATAGTAGTAGCTTTTCGACATATTTTATGATTTCAGTAACTGATGCAAATCTGCTGACTCATGCTGAAATGTAAACATGCCCTAATTAATTATTCATGGCTAATCTAAAAACGTAGAGAACGTTCGAGAAAGTTACGCAACGCATGAAAGCAATTTTACTACGTAACACTCAACAAAGACAAAATGTCTTTGTGCAGCATTTTCTAACTTTAAATTCATCATAAAACAGTTCTAAAGGAGGGCTCACTCGTGAAATGTTTTTCAACACTCGAGGAGAAATTTCGTGTCTCTGCGCGGCCACGAAATATCCTATATTTATTCCTCGAGTAATTAAAGACTAAACTCGAAGTGATCTCAAGATATCACGAAGTAGTCCGGTCTCATTTCGTGAAATAGTTGAAACAAGCCGAAAAGTCACGAACTTGCACGCCCAATCTTGTACCGAAACTAGTGCATCATTTCATAACTATTTTTCATATCCCAACCTACCTTGGGTCGCAGTAGCGCAATTGGTTAATCCCTCAACTTAGAGTCTCCTCTGATCTGACGGGTCACACAGGTGAGTCGGTTCAAACCCCGGGAAAGCCAAAATAATAATTTTTTCTTCCTCGAAAAAGTTAAAGAATAAATCAAAGAAATCGAAGTGATCTGGAGATATCTCGAATTAATTCGGCTCTCACTTCGTCAAGTAGCCGAATAAAACCGAAAACCTACAGACTTTGCATTCCCAATCTTGTCAAAAAATTGTAACTTTGATACATTCCTGAGCGTCGCGAAACCTTTACTTCGCGCTCCGCCGAAGTAATAAATCCGATTTATCATGACGTTCTGAAGCTTAATGAAAAACCTGTACGCGCCAAACGTAATTTAATCAGTACTGCCAAAGCTTGTTTCGAAGTGCTTTTTAAAATTTCGGGTGTAAGCCCCTTCGGATATAAGCCCTCCCGTTTAAGGCCCTCACGAAGAAGATGTAGAAGCCCAGGGCCTATGAGCCGAGAGCAGTTAACGGTATTCTATTGTGGCTGTATTAGTTCTCTTCCTGGGTGATAACAAAATAACTCTCAGTTAAACAAAATTCGCTTTGTTCTTACTAGTTTGAAGTTAATTATTGATTAGTGAGCGTAACTACATTTCCATTTTACCGTTAAATATGTCGGCTTGACACTGTTGATATCACTTATACATGGCTTTAATCACATGGAGACAAATATTAACTACATGAACTGCGGTTCTTTGCTTTTCATTCGCATCTCCGGAGCTTCTTTCACACGATCATCTAATTATTTTGCAGTGTGAAGAAAATTTAGAACTTTACTTGTTTAATATATTCTAATTTTTGGCAGCGAAAAGAATAATAATAATAAAAAGCAACATGAATGCGATTATAATCACTGATCAGCTCAGCTTGCTAGCAGATTGCATTCTTTCGGTAATGATTAATTGAATGCAGAGAACAAGCATCCTATCATGAAGGTTTGCGTCATGTAATATCTAGAAATTAAATTATTTAAAAATTTTACCAGATGTGTTTTTTCCTTCAGAGCAGACGACTACTTGACGAAAGAGAAGAGATCTTCTGAGTTTGTAGTTTCGCGGATGAGCATGGAACCTACAGGTAATTACAGGTTTATACCCTTATAATTATCCAAGTAGAATACAGATAGTTTCCTTACACTAGAAAGCTTATTCCCTCAGTAACCTTCTTTACAGAGGATACACTCAAGAGCCTTATCGAAAACCTGAAACCAGTTAAAGCAGTTAAACGCTGACTGGCCTTAGTCAAAATATAACAAAATTTCTTATATTCATTTTGTAAAACGACGCATAATGGATAGCACCATGCCATGTGAAAGTACAGCCAAAGAGGTTTCATTGAATGATGTTCACGCCACAGGATTTAGTCCACAGTGTCAAAAGTTACCTTACGAGACTCCATCACTTTGACTAATTGGTAGCTGTCATAGGTGTGAAATAAACTTCTGTCATACGACTGAATAGGTACAAAGGAGAATAATGGCTCCTATTATTCGCTTTTGCAGGCCCGTAGCAAGCCTTTAGAAACTTGGGGGGGGGGGAGGGCAGAAAGATTTTAGGTAGCTCATTGTGTTTGAAAAGCAGAGGGTTTTCGGTCCGGAGGACCCATTGAACTGGTCTTTGTATCTTACAACCAGAAAATGTTTCACCTAGCTGCAGAGACATAATTGTTTGGCAATGCCCTGGGAGATGATTTTTTATATTCAACTTTTAAGCGCGCATGTTTTGACCTTTTGGGGCATATAAACTAGAGGGGGGGGGGGGGGCACGGGTTCAATGCCCTGGGAGATGATTTTTTATATTCAACTTTTAAGCGTGCATATTTTGACTTTTTGGGGCATATAAACTAAGGGGCGGGCACGGGTCCCCCGGTACCTCCTCATGCTACGGCCCTGCTCTTGATACATATCGCCTCAACCCTTTTACTCTTAGAGTGAAAGTACTTAATTATCTTCTCCCGTTGAGGGGCTACTTACGGATAATGAAACATAATTAGGTCACTGAAACATAAAAGGAATCCCAGCTGGTACATTGGCTATTTTACAAACGTGGCGGAGGATGTAAACTTCGAACAACGGAGAACAAATCCAGCTGGCGGTCAGGGCGAGATTCAGTTGCACTCGGGGCCCCTGGATTCCAAATTCAGCGTTCTAACCACTCTTTATTGGGTCGTTCTGAATGATATTGGAAATTTTTGTGGAATTGTTGCTTTGGTCACGTCAGGGAGTTTTGGTTACACGGTTACACAATTAGGGGGTAATACGGTATTTAGATTTTTCCAAGGCCAAAAGCGAAGCTCTCGTGGGATCTTTTAAGAAATGTTTTTCTCCAGTAATTCAACTTTTGCCATAAACAAGAAGTTAACTGAACTCCTCCTGAAAAAAATGGACCTGAGCTTGTGGTCAATTGAAAACATAACTGGTCAGCGGAGAACTATAGGAAATCACGTCCCCTCAATGAGGTGTTCACTAGAGCCCGCGATACAGTCATATGACAATGGACAGCGGTTACCTTTTTAGACAGCTGTCAATAGGCCTTCTGCAAGGTTTATGACATATCACAAGAATCTGTTATTCAGTTGTCTTCCAATGGTAATAGCCTGATTTAGCAACAGAGCGGGAACGTCAGTTGACGACGGTGCGCGCAAATCAAACAACTCGTTTGACCAATGGCAGAGCGGCAAAAGGGGCACCGGAAGTCGAGTTTAGTCCTTTCCGCGCGCTTTCCCGTAGTCAAATGACGTTCCCGTTCTGTTGCTAAATCAGCCTAATACTTAGATTCCCCCCCCCACCCCCCACTTCTTGAGCATTATTAGGGTACGTTCGATTGTTCGTATTTCGGAATACGAATAAGCTAAAGCTTTGTTACAAACCTCTTGCACCATACTTCTTGGACTACTGAAAGCTACATTACATCGAAATATTTTATTTCAGCACATTTCTAGATGTTGCATTGCAATGAATGGCAAAACAAATACGGTCAATAGATCATACCCTTAGTAAGTACTGTTTAGGAAAAACACTTTTAGGTTGATATGCCAATCTCACCTCTAATCAAGTAGTATGGCTTCTAATAATACTCTTTTCTTCACAGAATCGGTGTTTCCTAACATTACCAACAACGCCACGGAACCTGGCAGTGGAGGTTCGTATTCCATACCTCCAAACATTCAAATCGGAGTCACCATATTTGCAGTATTGATTTTTATCTTTGCGCTGATCGGTAACATTGTGGTAATTTACATTGTCTGCACGGTAAACCACATGCGCAGCTCAACCAACACCCTCATCGCCAACATGGCCGTTGCTGATCTGTTGATGACCATAGACATACCGTACATACTTAAATTTTTCTACGTCCGCGATAAATGGTTTGGAACCTTCATGGGCACCGTTTTATGCAAGTTTTTTCACTCTGCTCAAGTGGGATCTCTAATAGCCTCCGTGTTTAGTTTAGTGGCAATTTCTCTGGATCGAAGTTTTGCTATCTTGTTTCCTATGAAGACGGTTATGACTAGGAACGTTGTACGTTTCGCGATCGCCATGGTCTGGCTGGGAGCGCTGGCTTTCTCACTTCCAGTCATGGTGGTATCTAAAACTGCACAATTGGAAGGCACGAATTTTTTGAGTTGCGCAGAGTTTTGGGCGCCCACGTCGGCAAACACTTTCTTCCTAGTTCTAATTATAGGTGGGTACATCATTCCACTGATAATCATCGCCTTTGTCTACAGTCTAGCAGGGATACGTCTCTGGAGTAGACAACTTCCTGGCCATAGGAATTTGGTCTCAAACAAAAAAGCACAGTCGTCCAGCAGGCGTGCAACAGCTATGTTGATAACTGTAGTTATTGTCTTCGCCCTGTCTTGGCTGCCTTTTCAAGCTTTGGAGATGCTTCGTCAGTACAACAGACCACTGTTTGATTCACTTCCGATTGAGTTACTGTACACCACACCTTGGTTTGGTTACGCTAACAGTGCTATTAACCCAATCCTTTATGTGATATTCTCTGAGAATTATCGTCAGGAGTTTTACCGCATTCTGTGTCGAGGTCCAACCAGGAAGGACCGCTACAGAAGGACAATCATAAGCCGAAGTACCACTACTAGATCAACTCGTCTGTCACGTGCAAGCTCATTGGCTGTAAGCATTCCGCTTCAAAAGCTTAGAGAGGAAGCGAATTATAGACGACAAGGCCCTGAGTCACCCTAATATAGTGCCGCAATATTCTGACCCCAAGGCATGAGAACTTGATAAGCTTTGTAACATCTTGACCAAGACTCAAAAAGAATCGTGACACCAGTAATTTCAGACTCCTATTGTCACTTGAAAGAACAATTTTCCAGAACGCTCAACTTTTCGTTCAACTTTTCGCTCACTAAGCAAGTCTGTAGCGCTGCTTTGCGCTGCATTTAAAAAAGACAAGCGCCCAAACGACGCCTAACATTAGGGCGGATCAAGAAAATGTTGGTAAGGGGTTCCAGTTAGTGCACACGGTTGGAGCCAACACTTTACACCCTTGCACTCGTTATGTATTATTCTCTACTTTGAATGACTTTGCTGTCATGACACGTTTCCACAGTACATGTGACAACAGCGAAAACGCCACCAAAAAGTAAGTTCGTGTTCTTTCAAACCTCATCGCAATTATTCCAACTTGTTCACCTCGTCTAATGTAGGCGAATTCTCCTGGATTTGAATTCGTAACAACCTCATCCCAGTACCGGTTCCCAGAGGAGAGAGGAGTTATCGTACTTTGTTCACGTCCTCCATGAAAAGATGTCACTACAGCGACGGCAACGAGACGTCAAATCACGCCCTGAATCACCCTGAAATCGTGCCGCAATATCCTGACGCCAAGACATGATAACGTGATTTAGCAGCCTGCCACAAGACCCAAGCTTTGTAACATCTTGACCAAGATACAAAAGGCACCAGTCGTTTCAAGAGGCTGTAACTCAGGCTGTCACTAAGTAAATCTGTAGCGCTGCATTTAATTTTCTTTTCGCTTTTTTAAAGCCAGTTTTTCGTCGTCGTCGTCGTCGTCCTTGCTTGAGGTTATGTTTACGGGACCATTGGCAAGGAAGATTTTGTATCTCAACACAAAGTTCCAACACTATTGCCTTGTTATAGGAAAACATTTATCTCATGTTGTGCGGTGGCAAATACGAACAAGACGAACAAGAGTCCCAAGGTAGAAAGACATTTTCTATTTAAACTACTGAAAACCAAGTGGACGAAGGTTGTCTAACTGAATGAAGGTTTCCCATCAGATCCATTAGACCTATTAGGCTACGACACACCGATGACGTCACTAAAACTTTTTTATGTTTTGTCCAACACAATTTTACGTCATCTGTAATGTGTTACTGAACAAACACACGGCAATATTGAATCTATTTGCTGAATAGGTGACAATTTTCCGTGGCCTTGCTAGAAAATAGCAAATGGAAATTTTTTGTCGATTTCTTAAATAGACCACTGAACGAAATCCACACTGCAACGCATGCGCAATAGGTAACAAGGGGTGCGCACCATTTACACAATCCACCCGAGTGGAAATCTTGTACATAAACAGTATAAAATTTTACATGTTGGGAGAACGACCCGCTACAAGGTACATCCAAATCAGCTGAACAGACTAAAACTAAGAGGGGGAAAATAAATTCGCCTTAAATCACAGCCCATATTTTCTGAAGCTTCCCAAACGGAATGGCGCGAACCATTTGATTTTCAAACCGGAATTTCCGGTTTTCCCACGTACACGGTAAGTACCCCAGCATTCAGTTCGAATTCAGTTTTCCGATCCGTAACAGCAATCTGAGGAACAGCAGCGGTTAAGTAAGAACAGAATCAAATCGGTATTGTGGTCAAGTAATGTAAATGTGAGAGCTTTAGTGATGCATTAATGTTGTTTAGTTTAAGAAAGTTTTTCACGGAAGGTATCTAATCTCTTTGTGGCAGTAGGATTGACGAGATAAACAGACGCAAAAAGCAAAAAAGTGGTCAGTTTTGAAAGCTTAAATTTTATTTGATTTATTAAGACTATGTAGGTGTAAACAGAGATTAGAAATAGAATTAAAGATTGATGTTGAATGAATGTAATGGAAGATAATAAATACGTGGTACGATTGACAAAAGACGTAATCTATTATTGACAACTTCTCCCTGGAGAGTTTCCATAGGAAACTGGGAGGGACGCCCCTCCTGTTATTTTCTAGGGGCGGGGGTGGGGAGCGGCGGCGAGGACATGATATACGTGGGCTCGATTACTAGCCATTGTTCGGCAAATGAACCCGCGCTACCAGAAACCGGACCCACGACAGTGGCGGAAATCGAACCTAGATTCTACGAAGAAAGTGGAGTGTAGAAATAACCAATTTTTTTTGTAGATGCACATCCATGGCCAGTTATATGCACCAGCCAACGAGCAAGCTCTTCCCCAGTTCGAGTTGCAAGTGAAGCAAGCCGCAAGACAACGCGCGAGCGAGCGACCCCATTCAGCCCTTCACACTTGATCTGCCGTCTCAGTTTTGAGTGCCTTGTGACTTCTCATCCCCCATATGGGGAGTTTGTTCGCAGGGTTTGTGTGCACTTGCTGCCTGCCACGAAAGTGCCATTAACTTTGTCTTATTATTTCAAACCCCAAAAAACACGAACTACGAAAATATTTTTTTTTTTCCGTTCACGGGGAAAAAAAAAGGCAAGTTAATACTGGCATTCAAGAATTTAGTAAATACGATTTGGCTCCTCTGTTACTTGATTTAATATTTTAAATTATTGCTTTAAAACATACATACTATCAAAAAGTTGGATTTGAAATAAGTAAATAAATATTAAAGCAGCAAGCTATTTTCTGTTGTCTTCTTTGCCTTTTTTTAGGCCGTTTATGATTCAACATTTGTTCATTCTAACCACATTTTAAGCTAAGGAAAAATAATATACCTTCTCTAAAAAAAAACGGGGCTCAAATAGAACGCAAGTTCAGAGTCCACCGGGTCAACTGGGCCAGCTTTGAAATAAATTTTGGGGTGATACAGAATTGAAGAACAGAGCTCAATCTTGTTTTCAATGATGGCTTGCCTTGTTACAAACGCGATCTTTAAAATGAAGCTTCGGCCAGTCCTTTCCCACTTTCGATGAAAAATGTGTGTGCTGTTAAATCGCCGCTGAAGGGCTAAATCTTTGTAAATAGAAATGTATAATAAACAGGTAGACCCTTGGTATAAACGTAGGACAAGAATATCGTAAGAAAATTGGCTAACATTAACAAGTAACATGCCATTCTACTTAAGCTTTAAGCACAGCGTCCGAGTAAAAATTGTGAGGCGGTAGTTCTGCTTTTGTTAAGATATCTGTGGATGCTTGAAAGAAATCCTCTGAAACTCGTGGGTTCACATGGTCGGAGCCATCTTTTTTTCCAACTCCAAAGGTGGTCGTTCAGAAGTTGGGGTGAAGAGATGTTGGAGAACTAACTGCAAGCCAGCGTTTGATGTCTGAATGAAATTATTGAATAACTCAACGTCGTACACAGTTTTCCTCTTTGTATTCGGATTTTCTTGTTCTTCTACGAATTTGATCACTTCCTCTTCTCTGATCCCGACAAACCAGCTTGTCCCCATTTTATAAATAATTTAAAACTTAACTTCGACTCGTGAAAACTGCGAAAGGAACAAACAACGAAAAACCACAAGTGCTTGACAGCACGGGAAAATACTGTGAGCTGATTGGCCAAAAAGGATATTACACACGCGTAGATAGAAATGATATCACCACTAGCTAGATAGCGCATTTATCTTTTTGCTACCACTTGGTATAACCGTTATCATTTATTTAATAAAAGCGATTATGTAGTACTATTATGTGGATCTTAGAGGGTGTTATATTCCTCACACTCAGCCTCATCCTGTGGTTGTTTCAGTTGTTTGTTTAAGAAACCGACGAGCATCGCGTGGGTTTTTTACTGCATTGACTTAGTCTCAAGAATAATTGTCGGGGACTGTTAGGTACATTTTTTTTCCTACACCACCTGCATGCATTCTCTAAAGTAAACGGGTGGGTCTTTTCCACTATTAGTGCGCGCGTTTTAGATCAAGTAAAGACCAACAACACAGTTTTTATTTCAAACTGACGTTGGTGCATTAGCATGTTGAGGGCCGCGGAATTTGAGGTAGAATATTCCAGGTTCTTTAGTTCAGCATAATATATATTTTTCCGATAAAATTTACAGACGAATGTATGGTAAATGAAAAATACAATCGTACTATAGTTCGCGCGTAAGTTAAATTGGTCTCCCCAATATCTATAAAGCTCTATCCTAGTTTGTAAACTAAGTTTGATAACCACCCTAAGGAAATCTCCTTTCAACAAGCGAAAATCGATATGTAAAAACGAGCCAATGAGTAATTCAAAAAAAGTCAAAACTTTTATGAATTGACTTTAATCTTTCGTTGCATTTTTCAATCTCTGATCTTTTTGTCTACCCTATAAAATTAGGTATGTCTATTTCTCCAATGAGCTATAAAGGCCTTATCATTTACCTTATTATTTTTTCAGTTCATACTTTTCCGTGACAATTTTATCTTTTATGAAAATCATTGACAGTCTATCAAAGGGGAAGTTAAACTTAAGCTTTGATAAAGTTACGGTAATAGTACCGTGTGACGTACTCGACCAATTAGAAATTATGAGTCAGGTTACCCTTGGACGGTATGACACGAAATCCTTTTACCAATGAATTGGGTCAATAACAGAAGCACACACTAATGTGATAAATGATGGAAGCACAAGTTTCTTATAACATCTATCTGTAGCTCGATTTGTCGTATTATGAGACTTGAGTAACAGCATTGTTGTTGCTGTTGCTGTGTGTTTTTTTATGGAGATTGTTCTACAGGATGTAAAATGTCTAAGAAAAAATTGATTCATTTTTGTTGAGTCTTTTTTTACAGACCGAATCTGGGGTACTTGCTCTCTAAGTTATTTTAATTTGGACTGGTTAACATGGACTAAGTAGGTTTAAAAATCGTATTGTCTAAGCAACATTTGGTTGTTTAATTTTCACTTGGCTTTGCGACTGACTGTTTTGAAGCACCATCTAATTGGACTGCTATGGATAGCAGCTAACAACAAATAAGAGATATTGAAAAACAAGAGTGACTCAAGCATTTATATTTGATGCCAATAAAAGAATAATAGGCTTGAAGCCTTACCAATGCTAATGTACCCATATTTAACACGAGGAAAGAATGGAATTCACCATTTCCATGTACACATAGACCATAATGCACCTTGTTTCCTCCCCCAAGAAAACCAAACAAACAAAAAAACCAAACTTTGTCTGACCATTGTTTTCGATTTCTCCTGGGACGACTGTAATACCCAGGAGAATTAGAAACATTAGCATGCAAAATTCTGGGGGGTAAACAAGGTGCGTTATGGTCTATGTGAAAGTATAAATACATTAAGCAAAGTGTTGTCTTTTTTCATGGAAAATAAGGTGGCAAACGGTGCATGATACTGTATAGCCCAGTTTAACGGGAAAGGTTTTTTTTTCTTTTTTAAAAAATCCAGTATCTATAAGCTGAAAGATAATAACGTGTAACTAAAATTGATCCCATTTTCTACGTTTATGACGAAAGAGTTGTAATAAAACAATTCAGAAAAAAGTGACAGTTAGGGTTGATTCCCAGTATAGCGTAATTTTTCTGTGCGTACGTGCGTAAAATTTACGTTCGCAAATAAAATAGAGGCAATGCATGAAAGGTCGCTCGTTAGCGTAAAATTTGAACCTCGCTTAACTTCTCGTTTAAGGTCAGCACTTTTTAATATCGCTATTCTCGACTGTGTTACTTCGTAAAAATAGTGTTTTAAGTATTTAGTTTTTGTGGGAACACAAATTCTGCATACTGAGTGGTATGCGAAAACGTTTGCAAGAAACATAATATTTCACTAACGTATTTCTTCACTTCCATTAAACTGAAGACGTTGTACTGTCGCAATTTGTAATAATCATCGCACTTTGTAATACCTGTCGCGATTTGTAATAAATCCATCGCACTTTGTAATACCTGTCGCAATTTGTAATAAACCGTGTCGCACTTTGTAATAAAAAAGCTGTCGCAATTTGTAATAACAGTCCATCGCACTTTGTAATAAACTAAGCTGTCGCAATTTGTAATAATTCCATCGCACTTTGTAATAATTTTTTGAGAGTGATTCAACTTACTTCGTCAACATTAATATAATGCCAAAATATGCATGGTACTTCATAAACAAAGATGATGACGTCTGCTAGCATGTAACATGTCCGTAACATTTTCTTTGGTCAAACATTCATTTCTTCCGCTATAAATTTTTCTGCCTTGATTAATCACGTGACTAACTAGAAACGCTTTTTTATGAAAGACATGAAACTTCCTGTGACATATCACCAAAAAGATATGAATCACGTTTAAATTCAAAAATATTTAAATAAGAAAGGCAACATTTAACAACAGAAAATTCATGAATAACCTGGCATTCGTCGTCCAAATCCATGCTTGCTTGCCACGTGACACGTGAAGTCTTCGGCGGTTGTGGGGGGGTAATCCCATATATGGATGGGCTAGATAGGTAAGTACCGCCTGATAGGGTATGGTTTTTGAGGATCTCGAGCCTTTAATAGGGAATCATTTTTTGTGTTGTTGGCCTTGTGTCTTTGGTTTGATCCTTAGATAGGGTCAGGGATAGGGTAACTCAAGTAGTAATGGATGGTTTATTCCATCCTTTCCATTTTGCAGAAAAACAGTTATCCAGAACACGCTCGGGAGAATTGCAAGGTCTTACGAGTTGTATATACGCAGGGAAGGATAATTTTTTACCATCCCCATGGTATTTGCTTTAGAGCACTCCTTACAGAAAACAATAGTTTTAAGATGAAATGAGTACTCCTTTTGTTCCTATATGGGACCAAATCAAGTGAGAATAATGGACCAAATGCCCAGCCGGCTCAGTGTAAGACCCCAAGTGAGTGTTATGAAAACAGGTACATACGAAGGTATTGGCCAGCGACTACTTGGATTTTGTGTTCAGGTTTCTGTTGTGGTTCGAAGGTTTGCCACTGGTGACGTTTTTTTTTATTTGCAGTAAACATTTTGAATCTTTCCAGGCCTCGTTTGATTTAGTTGGCCAAAATATGGAAGCCACTATTAATTCTTTAAGATTGCTCGTTAGACAAGAACGGTGTACCACGTGATGTGTCAACCTGTTATAAGATCTAACAAGGAAAACTTGAACTCTCCTGGTGTCCTTATTCGAATGATGTAGGATGGATGTTACGATTAGCGGAAATTAACCGCTTTTTAATAATGGCTTGTTTGTGTCTAGTGTGTCTAGCTCTGTCTAGATCCTCTACTCTGGCAATGCTCTGTCCAGAGACACATCCCCGTATTGGCCATATAAGGAAGTACACCGGCCGGGTAACCATTGAATGCAAGCCACCTAGTACAATAGCAAGGTTCAAGAATACAGCATTTCGTAAGTCAGATAACTAATCAACATTAATCTAAAAAAAATGTTTAGGACTGTGAATAAAGTTAAATGTTTGAATGAGCGGAGATGTTACGTGCTAGCAGACGTCACCTCCATCTTTGTTTATGAAGTACCATGCATATCTTGGCGTTATATTAATGTTGACGAAGTAAGTTTAATTACTCTCAAAAAGTTATTACAAAGTGCGATGGGACTATTACAAATTGCGACAGCTTAGTTTATTAGAAAGTACGATGGACAGTTGTTACAAATTGCGACAGCTTTTTTATTACAAAGTGCGACACGGTTTATTACAAATTGCGACAGGTATTACAAAGTGCGATGATTATTACAAATTGCGACAGTACAGACGTCAAGTACTCTCGCTTTTAAAAATCACGTGACTTTCTCCTTTTTGAAATGACAGACGCAAGTAAGCGTTCTATGAACAATTTGATAGAGGCTATTTCATGGAGGGTATTAAAATTATCATGTTTTTGAAATGTGCAACAAAAGGCGAAGTCAAGGTTTCCCTAGCATGCCTTCCAGTATTGACAGGAATGCAAAAATATGATTTAAAACAAGGCTGGGGGCGGAATAGACACCAAGAACACCTGGTATTGACGATAACATGTCAAGAAATGGGACGAGAAAAAAATTAACTTGAACTTGACAAATTTTTATTGTCTTCCGGAGAAACATCAATAAACAAAATAAGAACTGTGTCAGTTGCAGGTGTTACTCTGTATTATAAAAGTTCAAATGAATTAATATGTAGATTATAGTACTGAAGGATATAGCCCAAAAACGGCAGAAGAACTTTCGATTCAACAGGCGCCTCGACCTTGAAAAGACGTGCGAAAAAAAAAGGAAAATAACGGACAGCCAAGGTAACACTTTTTCCTTTCTGAAATTTCTTTGCTTGATGTTTTTCTCCAGAGGCTTTGCCAGTCTCTTTATTCACAAGGCAGAAGGGCTTTTCATAGATTGAAATTTTACAAGTGTTTCAAGGTTTTCTGAAAACCTTGTCCTAATGTACTTAAGTTAACTAGAAGTACGTATCTCTGGTATCTCGCAAACCCTCGTTAAAGAAGTTAGGTTGAAAACTGGTTGGGTGACCAGCCGGGATTGATCGAGTACCGAGCTGAAACCAGTCTTTGATCTATCGGTTGGGAAAGAACCAGGACTGAAGAACCAATTCAATGCGGGTTTGCCTCGGTGTGTGACATGAATTGAGAAGTGGATTTCAGGAAAAAGCAAGGTTTAAAACCAAGTAACGAGCTTGAATTATTCAGTTGACTTGAGAAATTAAGCTCTGGCTGCTAAACAAATCAACTATGATGGAATCATTGATTTCCTTCGGCTTTGCCAAAATTCTGATCTAACTCCTGCATTTGCTAAGATCCTCCGAACAGTTTGCCAGAAATGTCATCGGGAAATCGGGAACAACTGCGTAACAAATCCAAGAAGAATATCACTCTAACGAATCAACGGAATCTACAGTAAAATTCATCAGAACATCTCCTCTTCCCATTACCCATATGTTGTTAACGATGGCGTTGCTACGTAAAAAGACCTATCAGAAAATGGCAGAGGAAAACGCACAAAAAAATGCACAGTTGCTGTGCAGGGATATCGACGTGGATGAACAAGTACAGAACATATCATATCATCGAGATTAAACACTTCGAAATCAATGAAAATAATTTTCTTGTCTCAGTGCCAGTTTCACAAATGCACCGTTAAGGTGGATTTCCACTGTCGCGTAATTTTTTACGCGCGTATTGAAGTATTAGAGACCTTTGGCATCAGGCAAACCGCAAACCGCAAACCGCAGTTTGCAGTTACGCGTTTGCAGTTTCGCGTTGCCGAGATTTCAAGTTTTAGCAAGGCGTTCAGTTCAGTTAATTTTTATTTAGCCAAAATATAATACAATACAAGAATACATATAGGAATTGTAAGGTGGCAAGGGAGCCTAGAAGAAACCAGAAGGCTTATGAAGCCTGGGCCCCCAGTCTCAAAGAAATAGGCAAAATAAAATGAAATTCGCGGAGTGATACGTTGAAAATAGGAACTAAACAGAGACTGATGAGTTAAGTTATGAATTCAGTAACAAGATAGAAAAAAAATTTCAACTCTGGATTGGAACAGAATACTTTCTTTTGTTAGTACGGCAGAAAGGAATATAACATCGATTTGAACTACGCGTTCATTGTTTAGGGCCGCCATGTTGTTTTCATCAAGTCGAAGTGCATCACTTTAATCGCCCAAAAATCAGCAATAATTCATTGATTCGAGATCAAAATCCAACAAACACATCGCAAACGGATATAAAAAGCTAGTTCATACCTTTAAACGCGAGGCTGTACAATTTTTGTCGCAAAAAAACCTTGCCGTAAATGTATGGCTCTTAGAGTTTATAACACTCCTTACTACTTTAACTTACTGTATTTGTTTCTTATTCTGGCATCCTCGTTCTTTTTACATTAGAATATGCGCTATTTATCCGGGGGCTGAATTTGTGTTTGTATATATTGCGTCTATAGTGGTTTATTGGCCAACTTTCAGCTTGATGTTCTTAATCCACTTGTCCCTATATGCGGGTGTTTACCGTACCCTTAAATCTGAATCTGAAGGAAATACATTAAACTACTCGCAATCTGATCATGCATGATTCCGCTTAACGCCGGCGAGGAAAAACCTTTTGATTAGACTAAAAAAATGCCTTAAACTGTCGCTTTCAACCCCCTCCCCCCACCCCTACCACTTACAAACCTTCTCAGTTATAGGTTCATTTCCCGGATATACGCTGTAAGCTAGTTATAGGCTATCTCCCGAAATACAAGTCCCCCCGGATATAGGCCCCACTCTAGTACCGAAATAAATCCGATTTATCATGACGTTCTGAAGCTTAATGAAAAACCTGTACGCGCCAAACGTAATTTAATCAGTACTGCCAAAGCTTGTTTCGAAGTGCTTTTTAAAATTTCGGGTGTAAGCCCCTTCGGATATAAGCCCTCCCGTTTAAGGCCCTCACGAAGAAGATGTAGAAGCCCAGGGCTTATGAGCCGAGAGCAGTTAACGGTATTCTATTGTGGCTGTATTAGTTCTCTTCCTGGGTGATAACAAAATAACTCTCAGTTAAACAAAATTCGCTTTGTTCTTACTAGTTTGAAGTTAATTATTGATTAGTGAGCGTAACTACATTTCCATTTTACCGTTAAATATGTCGGCTTGACACTGTTGATATCACTTATACATGGCTTTAATCACATGGAGACAAATATTAACTACATGAACTGCGGTTCTTTGCTTTTCATTCGCATCTCCGGAGCTTCTTTCACACGATCATCTAATTATTTTGCGGTGTGAAGAAAATTTAGAACTTTACTTGTTTAATATATTCTAATTTTGGCAGCGAAAAGAATAATAATAATAAAAAGCAACATGAATGCGATTATAATCACTGATCAGCTCAGCTTGCTAGCAGATTGCATTCTTTCGGTAATGATTAATTGAATGCAGAGAACAAGCATCTAATCATGAAGGTTTGCGTCATGTAATATCTAGAATTTAAATTATTTAAAAATTTTACCAGATGTGTTTTTTCCTTCAGAGCAGACGACTACTTGACGAAAAGAAGAGATCTTCTGAGTTTGTAGTTTCGCGGATGAGCATGGAACCTACAGGTAATTACAGGTTTATACCCTTATAATTATCCAAGTGGAATACAGATAGTTTCCTTACACTAGAAAGCTTATTCCCTCAGTAACCTTCTTTACAGAGGATACACTCAAGAGCCTTATCGAAAACCTGAAACCAGTTAAAGCAGTTAAACGCTGACTGGCCTTAGTCAAAATATAACAAAATTTCTTATATTCATTTTGTAAAACGACGCATAATGGATAGCACCATGCCATGTGAAAGTACTGCCAAAGAGGTTTCATTGAATGATGTTCACGCCACAGGATTTAGTCCACAGTGTCAAAAGTTACCTTACGAGACTCCATCACTTTGACTAATTGGTAGCTGTCATAGGTGTGAAATAAACTTCTGTCATACGACTGAATAGGTACAAAGGAGAATAATGGCTCCTATTATTCGCTTTTGCAGGCCATGTAGCAAGCCTTTAGAAACTTGGGGGGAGGGGGGGAAGGCAGAAAGATTTTAGGTAGCTCATTGTGTTTGAAAAGCAGAGGGTTTTCGGTCCGGAGGACCCATTGAACTGGTCTTTGTATCTTACAACCTAAAAATGTTTCACCTAGCTGCGGAGACATCATTGTTTCAATGCCCTGAGAGATGACTTTTTATATTCAACTTTTAAGCGAGCATGTTTTGACCTTTTGGGGCATATAAACTAGAGGGGGGGGGCACGGGTTCAATGCCCTGGGAGATGATTTTTTATATTCAACTTTTAAGCGTGCATATTTTGACTTTTGGGGCATATAAACTAAGGGGCGGGCACGGGTCCCCCGGTACCTCCCCATGCTACGGCCCTGCTCTTGATACATATCGCCTCAACCCTTTTACTCTTAGAGTGAAAGTAGTTAATTATCTTCTCCCGTTGAGGGGCTTCTTGCGGATAATGAAACATAATTAGGTCACTGAAACATAAAAGGAATCCCAGCTGGTACGTTGGCTATTTTACAAACGTGGCGGAGGATGTAAACTTCGAACAACGGAGAACAAATCCAGCTGGCCGTCAGGGCGAGATTCAGTTGCACTCGGGGCCTCTGGATTCCAAATTCAGCGTTCTAACCACTCTTTATTAGGTCGTTCTGAATGATATTGGAAATTTTTGTGGAATTGTTGCTTTAGTCACGTCAGGGAGTTATGGTTTCACGGTTACACAATTAGGGGGTAATACGGTATTTAGATTTAGCCAAAGCCAAAAGCGAAGCTCTCGTGGGATCTTTAAAGAAATGTTTTTCTCCAGTAATTCAGCTTTTGCCATAAACAAGAAGTTAACTGAACTCCTCCTGAAAAAAGTGGAACTGAGCTTGTGATCAATTGAAAACATAACTGGTCAGCGGAGAACTATAAGAAATCACGTCCCCTCAATGAGGTGTTCACTAGAGCCCGCGATACAGTCATATGACAATGGACAGCGGTTACCTTTTTAGACAGCTGTCAATAGGCCTTCTGCAAGATTTGCGACATATCACAAGAATCTGTTATTCAGTTGTCTTCCAATGGTAATAGCCTGATTTAGCAACAGAGCGGGAACGTCAGTTGACGACGGTGCGCAAATCAAACAACTCGCTTGACCAATGGCAGAGCGGCAAAAGGGGCACCGGAAGTCGAGTTTAGTCCTTTCCGCGCGCTTTCCCGTAGTCAAATGACGTTCCCGTTCTGTTGCTCAATCAGCATAATACTTAGATTCCCCCCCCCCCCCAACTTCTTGAGCATTATTAGGGTGCGTTCGATTGTTCGTATTTCGGAATACGAATAAGCTAAAGCTTTGTTACAAACCTCTTGCACCATACTTCTTGGACTACTGAAAGCTACATTACATCGAAATATTTTATTTCAGCACATTTCTAGATGTTGCATTGCAATGAATGGCAAAACAAATACGGTCAATAGATCATACCCTTAGTAAGTACTGTTTAGGAAAAACACTTTTAGGTTGATATGCCAATCTCACCTCTAATCAAGTAGTATGGCTTCTAATAATACTCTTTTCTTCACAGAATCGGTGTTTCCTAACATTACCAACAACGCCACGGAACCTGGCAGTGGAGGTTCGTATTCCATACCTCCAAACATTCAAATCGGAGTCACCATATTTGCAGTATTGATTTTTATCTTTGCGCTGATCGGTAACATTGTGGTAATTTACATTGTCTGCACGGTAAACCACATGCGCAGCTCAACCAACACCCTCATCGCCAACATGGCCGTTGCTGATCTGTTGATGACCATAGACATACCGTACATACTTAAATTTTTCTACGTCCGCGATAAATGGTTTGGAACCTTCATGGGCACCGTTTTATGCAAGTTTTTTTTCACTCTGCTCAAGTGGGATCTCTAATAGCCTCCGTGTTTAGTTTAGTGGCAATTTCTCTGGATCGAAGTTTTGCTATCTTGTTTCCTATGAAGACGGTTATGACTAGGAACGTTGTACGTTTCGCGATCGCCATGGTCTGGCTGGGAGCGCTGGCTTTCTCACTTCCAGTCATGGTGGTATCTAAAACTGCACAATTGGAAGGCACGAATTTTTTGAGTTGCGCAGAGTTTTGGGCGCCCACGTCGGCAAACACTTTCTTCCTAGTTCTAATTATAGGTGGGTACATCATTCCACTGATAATCATCGCCTTTGTCTACAGTCTAGCAGGGATACGTCTCTGGAGTAGACAACTTCCTGGCCATAGGAATTTGGTCTCAAACAAAAAAAGCACAGTCGTCCAGCAGGCGTGCAACAGCTATGTTGATAACTGTAGTTATTGTCTTCGCCCTGTCTTGGCTGCCTTTTCAAGCTTTGGAGATGCTTCGTCAGTACAACAGACCACTGTTTGATTCACTTCCGATTGAGTTACTGTACACCACACCTTGGTTTGGTTACGCTAACAGTGCTATTAACCCAATCCTTTATGTGATATTCTCTGAGAATTATCGTCAGGAGTTTTACCGCATTCTGTGTCGAGGTCCAACCAGGAAGGACCGCTACAGAAGGACAATCATAAGCCGAAGTACCACTACTAGATCAACTCGTCTGTCACGTGCAAGCTCATTGGCTGTAAGCATTCCGCTTCAAAAGCTTAGAGAGGAAGCGAATTATAGACGACAAGGCCCTGAGTCACCCTAATATAGTGCCGCAATATTCTGACCCCAAGGCATGAGAACTTGATAAGCTTTGTAACATCTTGACCAAGACTCAAAAAGAATCGTGACACCAGTAATTTCAGACTCCTATTGTCACTTGAAAGAACAATTTTCCAGAACGCTCAACTTTTCGTTCAACTTTTCGCTCACTAAGCAAGTCTGTAGCGCTGCTTTGCGCTGCATTTAAAAAAGACAAGCGCCCAAACGACGCCTAACATTAGGGCGGATCAAGAAAATGTTGGTAAGGGGTTCCAGTTAGTGCACACGGTTGGAGCCAACACTTTACACCCTTGCACTCGTTATGTATTATTCTCTACTTTGAATGACTTTGCTGTCATGACACGTTTCCACAGTACATGTGACAACAGCGAAAACGCCACCAAAAAGTAAGTTCGTGTTCTTTCAAACCTCATCGCAATTATTCCAACTTGTTCACCTCGTCTAATGTAGGCGAATTCTCCTGGATTTGAATTCGTAACAACCTCATCCCAGTACCGGTTCCCAGAGGGAGAGAGGAGTTATCGTACTTTGTTCACGTCCTCCATGAAAAGATGTCACTACAGCGACGGCAACGAGACGTCAAATCACGCCCTGAATCACCCTGAAATCGTGCCGCAATATCCTGACGCCAAGACATGATAACGTGATTTAGCAGCCTGCCACAAGACCCAAGCTTTGTAACATCTTGACCAAGATACAAAAGGCACCAGTCGTTTCAAGAGGCTGTAACTCAGGCTGTCACTAAGTAAATCTGTAGCGCTGCATTTAATTTTCTTTTCGCTTTTTAAAGCCAGTTTTCGTCGTCGTCGTCGTCGTCCTTGCTTGAGGTTATGTTTACGGGACCATTGGCAAGGAAGATTTTGTATCTCAACACAAAGTTCCAACACTATTGCCTTGTTATAGGAAAACATTTATCTCATGTTGTGCGGTGGCAAATACGAACAAGACGAACAAGAGTCCCAAGGTAGAAAGACATTTTCTATTTAAACTACTGAAAACCAAGTGGACGAAGGTTGTCTAACTGAATGAAGGTTTCCCATCAGATCCATTAGACCTATTAGGCTACGACACACCGATGACGTCACTAAAACTTTTTTATGTTTTGTCCAACACAATTTTACGTCATCTGTAATGTGTTACTGAACAAACACACGGCAATATTGAATCTATTTGCTGAATAGGTGACAATTTTCCGTGGCCTTGCTAGAAAATAGCAAATGGAAATTTTTTGTCGATTTCTTAAATAGACCACTGAACGAAATCCACACTGCAACGCATGCGCAATAGGTAACAAGGGGTGCGCACCATTTACACAATCCACCCGAGTGGAAATCTTGTACATAAACAGTATAAAATTTTACATGTTGGGAGAACGACCCGCTACAAGGTACATCCAAATCAGCTGAACAGACTAAAACTAAGAGGGGGGAAAATAAATTCGCCTTAAATCACAGCCCATATTTTCTGAAGCTTCCCAAACGGAATGGCGCGAACCATTTGATTTTCAAACCGGAATTTCCGGTTTTCCCACGTACACGGTAAGTACCCCAGCATTCAGTTCGAATTCAGTTTTCCGATCCGTAACAGCAATCTGAGGAACAGCAGCGGTTAAGTAAGAACAGAATCAAATCGGTATTGTGGTCAAGTAATGTAAATGTGAGAGCTTTAGTGATGCATTAATGTTGTTTAGTTTAAGAAAGTTTTTCACGGAAGGTATCTAATCTCTTTGTGGCAGTAGGATTGACGAGATAAACAGACGCAAAAAGCAAAAAAGTGGTCAGTTTTGAAAGCTTAAATTTTATTTGATTTATTAAGACTATGTAGGTGTAAACAGAGATTAGAAATAGAATTAAAGATTGATGTTGAATGAATGTAATGGAAGATAATAAATACGTGGTACGATTGACAAAAGACGTAATCTATTATTGACAACTTCTCCCCTGGAGAGTTTCCATAGGAAACTGGGAGGGACGCCCCCTCCTGTTATTTTCTAGGGGCGGGGGGTGGGGAGCGGCGGCGAGGACATGATATACGTGGGCTCGATTACTAGCCATTGTTCGGCAAATGAACCCGCGCTACCAGAAACCGGACCCACGACAGTGGCGGAAATCGAACCTAGATTCTACGAAGAAAGTGGAGTGTAGAAATAACCAATTTTTTTTGTAGATGCACATCCATGGCCAGTTATATGCACCAGCCAACGAGCAAGCTCTTCCCCAGTTCGAGTTGCAAGTGAAGCAAGCCGCAAGACAACGCGCGAACGAGCGACCCCATTCAGCCCTTCACACTTGATCTGCCGTCTCAGTTTTGAGTGCCTTGTGACTTCTCATCCCCCATATGGGGAGTTTGTTCGCAGGGTTTGTGTGCACTTGCTGCCTGCCACGAAAGTGCCATTAACTTTGTCTTATTATTTCAAACCCCAAAAAACACGAACTACGAAAATATTTTTTTTTCCGTTCACGGGGAAAAAAAGGCAAGTTAAGTACTGGCATTCAAGAATTTAGTAAATATGATTTGGCTCCTCTGTTACTTGATTTAATATTTTAAATTATTGCTTTAAAACATACATACTATCAAAAAGTTGGATTTGAAATAAGTAAATAAATATTAAAGCAGCAAGCTATTTTCTGTTGTCTTCTTTGCCTTTTTTAGGCCGTTTATGATTCAACATTTGTTCATTCTAACCACATTTTAAGCTAAGGAAAAATAATATACCTTCTCTAAAAAAAAACGGGGCTCAAATAGAACGCAAGTTCAGAGTCCACCGGGTCAACTGGGCCAGCTTTGAAATAAATTTTGGGGTGATACAGAATTGAAGAACAGAGCTCAATCTTGTTTTCAATGATGGCTTGCCTTGTTACAAACGCGATCTTTAAAATGAAGCTTCGGCCAGTCCTTTCCCACTTTCGATGAAAAATGTGTGTGCTGTTAAATCGCCGCTGAAGGGCTAAATCTTTGTAAATAGAAATGTATAATAAACAGGTAGACCCTTGGTATAAACGTAGGACAAGAATATCGTAAGAAAATTGGCTAACATTAACAAGTAACATGCCATTCTACTTAAGCTTTAAGCACAGCGTCCGAGTAAAAATTGTGAGGCGGTAGTTCTGCTTTTGTTAAGATATCTGTGGATGCTTGAAAGAAATCCTCTGAAACTCGTGGGTTCACATGGTCGGAGCCATCTTTTTCCAACTCCAAAGGTGGTCGTTCAGAAGTTGGGGTGAAGAGATGTTGGAGAACTAACTGCAAGCCAGCGTTTGATGTCTGAATGAAATTATTGAATAACTCAACGTCGTACACAGTTTTCCTCTTTGTATTCGGATTTTCTTGTTCTTCTACGAATTTGATCACTTCCTCTTCTCTGATCCCGACAAACCAGCTTGTCCCCATTTTATAAATAATTTAAAACTTAACTTCGACTCGTGAAAACTGCGAAAGGAACAAACAACGAAAAACCACAAGTGCTTGACAGCACGGGAAAATACTGTGAGCTGATTGGCCAAAAAGGATATTACACACGCGTAGATAGAAATGATATCACCACTAGCTAGATAGCGCATTTATCTTTTTGCTACCACTTGGTATAACCGTTATCATTTATTTAATAAAAGCGATTATGTAGTACTATTATGTGGATCTTAGAGGGTGTTATATTCCTCACACTCAGCCTCATCCTGTGGTTGTTTCAGTTGTTTGTTTAAGAAACCGACGAGCATCGCGTGGGTTTTTACTGCATTGACTTAGTCTCAAGAATAATTGTCGGGGACTGTTAGGTACATTTTTTTCCTACACCACCTGCATGCATTCTCTAAAGTAAACGGGTGGGTCTTTTCCACTATTAGTGCGCGCGTTTTAGATCAAGTAAAGACCAACAACACAGTTTTTATTTCAAACTGACGTTGGTGCATTAGCATGTTGAGGGCCGCGGAATTTGAGGTAGAATATTCCAGGTTCTTTAGTTCAGCATAATATATATTTTTCCGATAAAATTTACAGACGAATGTATGGTAAATGAAAAATACAATCGTACTATAGTTCGCGCGTAAGTTAAATTGGTCTCCCAATATCTATAAAGCTCTATCCTAGTTTGTAAACTAAGTTTGATAACCACCCTAAGGAAATCTCCTTTCAACAAGCGAAAATCGATATGTAAAAACGAGCCAATGAGTAATTCAAAAAAAAGTCAAAACTTTTATGAATTGACTTTAATCTTTCGTTGCATTTTTCAATCTCTGATCTTTTTGTCTACCCTATAAAATTAGGTATGTCTATTTCTCCAATGAGCTATAAAGGCCTTATCATTTACCTTATTATTTTTTCAGTTCATACTTTTCCGTGACAATTTTATCTTTTATGAAAATCATTGACAGTCTATCAAAGGGGAAGTTAAACTTAAGCTTTGATAAAGTTACGGTAATAGTACCGTGTGACGTACTCGACCAATTAGAAATTATGAGTCAGGTTACCCTTGGACGGTATGACACGAAATCCTTTTACCAATGAATTGGGTCAATAACAGAAGCACACACTAATGTGATAAATGATGGAAGCACAAGTTTCTTATAACATCTATCTGTAGCTCGATTTGTCGTATTATGAGACTTGAGTAACAGCATTGTTGTTGCTGTTGCTGTGTGTTTTTTATGGAGATTGTTCTACAGGATGTAAAATGTCTAAGAAAAAATTGATTCATTTTTGTTGAGTCTTTTTTTTACAGACCGAATCTGGGGTACTTGCTCTCTAAGTTATTTTAATTTGGACTGGTTAACATGGACTAAGTAGGTTTAAAAATCGTATTGTCTAAGCAACATTTGGTTGTTTAATTTTCACTTGGCTTTGCGACTGACTGTTTTGAAGCACCATCTAATTGGACTGCTATGGATAGCAGCTAACAACAAATAAGAGATATTGAAAAACAAGAGTGACTCAAGCATTTATATTTGATGCCAATAAAAGAATAATAGGCTTGAAGCCTTACCAATG